CCAAGTCGCAAGCTCAACGACTCGCATAGACCATTGCACGCTGCCTGCCGAATTCGTTTCTGCCTATGCAAGGCTGCCGCTGTCCATCGCTGCTAAATTCTAGGCAATGTGCCTTCGTTGGCGCATCCCCGCGCCTAGAGCCTTAATAGTAGTACTCTTAAATGAGATCCTGTGTTGCGAATTTCAATGTGAAAACATCATATTAATCAATAAGATGAAATTAGAAGAGCTTATATGAAAATGGGTCCATATCAACCTAAGTTAGCAGAGTATCCAAGGACTGAATCAAGGAGATAGTATCGTCGATTTTAATACACTTGGTTTGATCAATTTTCTTGGCTAGAGTACTCTCCATCAAAGGATGCAGTATTTTATTTTCCATGATTTATCTTTGAAAATAAAGTGTCTCATCATTTCACATTCACCACTAAAGGATTTAAAAGTTAGAAGAGGGTTAATGATGGGGTTAAATATGCACTTTTGATGCATGTGGAAAGTCTCACTTCACTACATAATAATGTTGTGAAATTTGCTAAAGATTTAATGAAAGTAAGTAGACATATTGATAAAGTGTTGAATGTACAAATTGTTGAATAAGTTCAGAAAAATCAGGTGAGATTTATGACAATATTTGAAAGTGTTCAATGGCTTAACTTACAAGCATGTACATTTAGAGGTCATGATGAATCTTTGGCTTTTGATAATCAAGGTAATTTTTTTGGAGATTATAAGACTTATAGGAAGATTAAATGTTGACATTGATGATGTTGTCTTAACAAAGCTCCAAAAAAATGCAAAGTATACCTCGCTGACTATTCAAAAAGAGATTTTGTATATTCTCGCAAACAAAGTGAGGAAAAAGATTTGTGAAGAAGTTAGAGATGCAAAGTTTTGTATTTTGGTTGATGAAGCCAAAGATGCATAAAATAAAGAACAAATGACTTTTGTTTTGAGATTTATTGACATTCAGGGTTTTGTACAAGAACTTTTTTTAGTATTGTGTATATTTCAAATACTACTTCTTCAATACTTAAAATAGAAATTTATGATGTGCTCGCTCGATATAACTTACATATTTTCAATATGCGAGGTCAAGGGTATGATGATGGTAGCAATATACATGGTGCATGGAATGAACTACAAGCTCTATTTCTCAGAAATTTTCTTATGTATATTTTGTATATTGTTTTGCTCACCAACTACAACCAACATTCATTGCAGCAGCTGGAAATGAGATTTCTATGTGGTTATTTTTCTCAAAATTGACAACTATATTTATGCTTCTCCCAAACATTATACTGAGTTACATTATGCTCAGGCTATATAAATTGCACATATGGTAGATAGAAGAGAGTGTGAAACTGGTAGAGGGGCTAATTAAATTGGTAATTTACATCAAAGTGGAACTACTCGCTGGAGCTCTCATTTTGATTCTATTTGCAGCTTAATAGATATGTATGGTGCAACTATTACTGTGCTTGAAAGTATGGTTCAAGAAAGATCTTCTAATTTTATATGTGGAGAAGTTAGTGGTTGTTTGTTTGTGATGAAATCTTTTAAATTTATATTCATCTTATATTTGATGCATAAAATAATATAGATTACTGATTTACTTTATCGAGCTTTGCAGCAAAAATCTCTTGACATCTTAAATGCAACGAATCTTTTATCAACTACTAAAGCATTGCTTCAAAACTTTGAGAGATGTTGGATTTGATCTTCTTCTTGAAAAATATGCAATTTGTTTGCACAAAATATGAGATTGACATAGCATATATGAATGCTTCGTATAGAAAAATTATAGGTTGTTCATGTCAACAACAAGATTTAGTGACGGTTTACCAGCATTATCATTATGATATAATTAACTCAACAATAGATTTTTAATTGAAACTCCTTGTATTTAGCTCTGTTTTAGAACCTAAAGATAACTTTAAATCATTTAAAGTTGATGCTATTTATATGCTTGCTGAGAAATTTTATCCTGAAAATTTCAATGAACAAGAGATGTATTATTTGAGATCTCAGCTAGAGCATTATTAAATTGATATGATTCATTATGAGAGCTTTTAGAATATGGCTATTAGTTCTGAATTATGTCAAGGATTAACTTATACACATAAGTTGCAGCACTATCATTTGATTGATAGATTGATTCATCTTGTTTTAACTTTATTTGTTTCCACAACCACTACAGAGAGAACATTTTCAACTATGAAACATATTAAAACTGTGCTTCGTAATAAAATAAAAGAGGAGTTCATAGCAGATTATATGATAATTTACATTGAACGAGAGTTTGTTAAAGATATTGATTTGGATTCGGTTATAGATAAATTCTATTCTACAAAACATCAAAGGGTGCAACTTTGATAGTATAATTTATTTATATTTTTATTTTAAATTTTATGTACTTTAAATTTTATTTTTTATATATTTTATGTTATATATTTGAATTAAAACTTTATTGTTAATTTAATAAATTTATAGAATAATTAATTTTAAAAAATAATTTATATATATTTATATCATAGCCTATAAAAAGAAAAATTCCTCAATAGCCAGGAAAAGAAAAATTCCTGGCTGTGCCCTAGCCTGGAAGGATGAACTGTCATGGCTCCGGTTGAAAAAATAATCCTTCACTGGGCTCTCGGTTGAAGATAGGACGTTGGATGCTGTGGGAAGGAAAGGAAGGCTTCTGATGATTCTGTCACTGCAGCTGAGAAAGGTGTGGCTGAGGAACACCTGCTGCCGCTGCTTCAATGGAAAAAAAATGGAAATCAAGAATGATTGAACTCAGGCCTCGTGCTGCTGCTCACGGTTTGAACTAAAAGACCACCCACGGATGAAGACAACTCTAATGCTCATGATTGGAAAATATGCTGTTGTTGGAGGAGAGCATGCTGGACTGTTCACGGTGTTGCATAAAGGAAGATGAAGTGCACGATGTTGCTAATTGCGGATGACAATGCACTGCTGCTGTCACAGGAAAGAACAGACCCCAGGTGCTGCTGCTGTGAGAAGAAAGAGACTCCGGTGCTCTGCGAACTGGATGCCGCTGAAAGAAATCATCTGCATGCGCTGTTGCTATGATGTAGAGAAGAAGCTCCTGCTGGGCTGAGGTTGAAGCTTGCGGTTGACAGAGGCTGTTGTTCTTCTCCTCCAAATCCAGTCAAGCTTTCCTTTGTTTTAAAAGATAAGAGTCCATTTTTCTAGTGATATTAGTCATGGTTTTTTGTGTGTTTGTTTTTCAAGGGTCATGTTTTTGTGTTTTGAAGGAGAGGGAGGGACCGTTTTTCTTTGGAAGAGAAGGAGAGTTTAGTTATTCCTCTCTCTGTGAAGAACCAGAGTGCGTGCTGGGGTGTCTTTGGCATGGAAAGGGATAGGGGCTGCTTCAATTATCAAAATGGTGGCTTCTTGAAGTTGCAGAGATGGTGGCTACGAGAAGTTTTTGTAAGGCTAAGTTTTAACAATATTGGCTTCCTTCTTCCCTTCTTGGCTGCTTGAGTTAGGGTTTTGGTTCTGTGAGATCTTAATTAATAAGAGAAATGGAAAGGTTTTAAGACTCCTGGGTTAAAAAAAAAAAAAAAACGATGCTCCTTTTACAGATAGAAAAATGCTGAATAGTATTTTGAAAGAGAATTGCATGTGTTTTAATGCAACGAGAACTGATATTTTAGAGTGAAATACAAATATGAGAATACTTTATAGATGAGGGTTAGAGCTAAAAGGTGACCATTTTGATGTTTTTTTTTCTTTTGTTTCAGAGGAAGAAGATAATAAATAGTAAAATTATAGTATATTTTTTTAAATTTAATTCTTGATTTTTTGGTTATTTGTAAAAACGTTTTTAATCGGTTCTAATCTTTTAGATTTCTTATAATTTCACTTTTAATATTTTTTAATTGAATCATCAAATTTCAGTATTTTTTACAAAGTGATTCTTCATTTCAAGTTTTTTCAATTAGTTTCTAATTGAACTTTATATTTTAATTATTCTTTTAATTAAATTCTTGATTGTATCAATTTAACTTTTTAAAGTTTCAATTATATCCATAATCTTTCAATTTTTATAAATTGATTCAAATTAAACCTCTAAACTTAATTTGTTCTTCAATTGAGTCCTTGATTGAATCCACAAATCCTATTAAAAGCTTAATTAAATCATTGAACTTAATTAATTCTTCCAATTGACTTTAAATTTTTTTCTTCAATTAAGTCCTTAAATAATTCAATCAAACATATTAGAAGTTTAATTAAATTCTTAGACTTAATTGATTCCTTTAATTTTGGTCAAATTTCAATTTCAATTTTTTCATTTCTTTATTTTATTTTGTCAAAACATCTCAATCTGGCTAGTCTTTTATTATTTTGTTTTTTTGCAGCTTGAAGACTTATTTATCCGTATTCCAAAAATATTCTTGAATTTTATATTTTATATATTTTTTAATAAAAATAAAAAATATACGCTTTTTATAGAAGGGTTACAAGAAGAGTCATGTCCTGATAGTCTTATTGCTTTTATTTTTAATTTTCATGTAATTTCTTTTATATATTGTGTAAATTTAATCTGAATACAAGTATTGTAAGGGTACTTGTCAAATATTAATTTTAGAAACTCGGTCCATCACGCCTTAAGGAAAATGAAAAGATCTCAATTCACAATAGCAATAAATAAATAAAAATATTAACTATTTTTTTAAGAGCTTAACAAAATCTTCTTTAAAAAACCAGAAAGAAGGACAGAACACTGCTGCGAGAGGATGCATCGTTAAATCAATAAATCTTTTAGATTTCTTTTAATTTAATATTTAAAGTATCTGTCGGGCACCATGACTGGCCCGGCACCGGAGAAGGCACTAACATAAAAGAGAAACGTTGAGCAAACCAGCTTTGACCAGCCAGAAATATCTTAGTTGATCAAAAGGACTTGATCGACCTGTTCTGTTGATATATATCAACCATCCTTTTCTATGCCATGGCAACGTGATGTGCCCACCATGCCGCTGATAATCCTTTTGGTTGTTGCGGCCAAGTGCATGGACGTGGATCTCAGACTCCTCTTTTCGTATCTCCTTCCTCCTGCTGTACTATGTATATCTCTCTCTTTATCTTGTCTTTTCAGCATACAGAAGAAAATCCTCCAATGCCGAATTTCCGCCGGGAAAAACAGGATGGCCGATCATCGGAGAAACATGGGACTTTGTGAGAGATGGCAGGAGTGGAACACCTGAGAAATTCGTAAATGATAGAATGAGTAAATACTCGACGGATGTCTTTCATACATCCCTTCTTGGAGATAATTTGGCTATGTTCTGTGGTGCCTCAGGCAACAAGTTTTTATTCTCGAGCGAAAACAAGTATGTCACCACCTGGTGGCCTCGCCCAATACAGAGAATATTGTCTTTTCCTGAGGAAATTGTTACCTCTTCCAAAGATGATAGTACCATATTGCGCAGATTTCTTCCTGAAATTCTCAAGCCAGAAGCTCTGAAATATTACATTCCTGTTATGGATTCAATGGCTAAAGATCATTTGGAGGCAGATTGGTCCCCATACAAACAAGTAAGGGTGTTGCCATTGTCCAAAAAATACACTTTCGCACTGGCTTGTAGATTGTTTATGAACATCAAGGATCCTGCTCATGTTAGCAGGCTTGAAAATCACTTCAATCTTGTCACTAACGGCCTTGTGTCAGTACCTATAAATTTTCCCGGTACAACCTATTACCGTGCAGTCAAAGGAGGCAAAATCATTCGCGAGGAGCTTCTAGCCATCATGAAGCAGAGGAAAGGGGAGCTAGCATCGGAGAATTATGAAGAAGGTGCTGAAGCTACTGATCTATTGACCCTGATGCTTCTTGCATCGGACGATAATGGGCAACCTTTAAATGAAAGGGATATTGCATACAAGGTTTTGGGTTTACTCGTCGCAGGCCATGATACAACCAGTAGTGCAATCACAATGGTCATGTACTATCTTGCTGAGTATCCCCATATCTATCAGAGGGTTTTGGAAGGTAAATATCCTTAATTAGCCTTAAAAACTGCAAATACTTCGATTAGAACAATGAACTTACAGCTGCATCTTTAGTTGCCATCGCAACAAGTGCCTAACCTCTTTTCTTGTTTACCTTTTTTATAACAAGCATCTCCAACCTCACCAAACTGATCGGAGAGCGAATCCCAGAACCTCTCTGCACTATAATCCTGACCGCCCACTTTTTTTCCAAGTCACCATAAATATTTTCTCCCTTTCTTATGAGCTCATGAGCATGCAAATATCTCACAACTCAAAAGCTCAGGATGTCAGCAAGCTGAGAACTACATTTATAGGCAACTAAATTACAAAAGCCAGACAATCAGTCACCATATATAATACACATTTAGAAAATTGTTACCATTTACAAATTTACTGAGACCATTTACATTGGAAACAAAAATGGATACCCAAATATTTTGACCAATTACAGCAGTGGCAGACTAGCAGCAAACGAGGTGTTGTGTTCCTTCTATATGCCACTCCTCTCCCCACAAACTACATGCTTGCAACAATTGTAACTGCGGAGAGATGGTAACAAGCAAAACACTGCCTTAGATTCTCTCATCCCTACTATAAATGTAAAATCTTGTATAATACATGTACATAATCAATTCCACTACACTTAGCGCAGCAAGTATCCAATAAAAATAATCAAGATGAGCCCGGTTCAAATTATTGTCGAACCAGCTATAACATCCAATGCCACCAGTCGCTTTCTCAATGACAGAGATGAGAAAGCTGCTAAGAAATTTTCCTACACCAAAGATACTGAGGTATAGTGAAAGACCAACACTCTTTAAATCACTAGGGACCTGATCATAAAAAAGTTCTTGCAGACCAACCATGGTAAAAACATCAGCAACTCCGAACAAGACGTATGAAGGAACTAACCACCAAACACTCATTGGAACAGTCACATTTGGTTCATTGACTAGACCAGATTCTTGAGCGATTTCGAGCCTTTTCATCTCAACTAGAGCAGCAAATGCTATCGAAACAGCAGATAAAAACATTCCAGTTCCAATTCTCTGAAGCATTGCAATGCCAGATGGTTTCCTTGTTAAAGCTCTTGCAACAGGAACAAAGAGACGGTCATAGATAGCAATACAGAGGATCATGGAAATGCTGCTAAAGCTTTCCAGTGAAGCTGCTGGTATCTCGAAACCTGGTGAAATTGATCTATCCATGGTTGCTGCTTGCTTGACAAAGAAAGTTGAGGACTGTGGAAACACAATAGCATATCCCAAGCATGTAGTCCATATTGGAATAAGCCTGAGTACTGCCTTAGCTTCTTCAACATCACGAAAGGTACAAACCTTCTGATTTTCTTTTGAGCCATCTGTTGTAAGCAGTGCATTGTTTAAGAACCTGGAATCAATTTTTATCTTAGAGAAGCTTGACATGGCAAAGCGAAAGGTCTTTTGAGTAAAACTTCACTGATTCAAGACTACAGAGAGCAGAAGTAATCTCCCACTTGATAAAATATCATAGAGCATCACAATTTAATCTATATGGTGATGTAAAATCACTCCCTTCTGTACATCAGTGTTACAATCTCCACTGGTTGATGCAAATCAACAAGCACACTAAGACAATACAGCATCTTAGACCCATATCAACAAATAATTAAGTGCATCTCCTAACAAAATCTAAAATTGATATCTTCAAACAATTGCCAAGGATAACAAACAGCCATTTACTGATGCTAATAGCACATAAATCAGAGACATTTCAGAGGTAATTAACTGTTTTGTTGGAAGTGTTAAAAGTGCAAGGTGCACTTAAGCACCAGGGGCTATCAGAGGCTAGGCTTCAGGATCTCCACCTACTACAATGCGCTTTGGATCCCCAAAATGAATCACGGTGTTATTACTAGTTATCCATACAATGGTTAAATAGAATATCAGAGCTCAGATTGCTATCACAATATGATATCATGGACTTTGCATTGATCCTAACTGGTTAAAGCTCACAAAATAAAGTATTTTCAAACAATACCTTACTTAAAAATTTCCATCCAATTAAAATCTCCAGGTCAACTAGATGCAATTTGTGTTAAATTTTTAACCTCAAAGACGTGATAAATTCTTACTTGAACTGCTCATAACTTTGGTGAGGTATAGTTCCACGACCTTCTTCCTCAGAAGCTATTGAGGAAGCAGTAAATCGCCAATTCCTGAAAGCTGCCACAAAGACCTGAGCAATTCTCAAAAGTGCGTTGTTCCCTTCCCTTTTAACACTGTACCGATATTTCTTTGATCCCAGTAAGAAGATGATCAGTGCACAGATCATCATAATGCATGGGATTCCAAATCCAAGACTCCAACTAAGATTGTCTTGAATGTATGTTAAAACCAGTAGCGATACTAAGATGCCTGAACTCATAAAAAAATACCACCAATTGAAGAATGAGCTTTTGGCTTTGCACTCTTTGGTGTCTTGTCTATCATATTGATTGCTCCAAAAGCCTGGACACAAGGCTTGTGCCCACCTTGGCCAAGTGCTACTAGATAGAGAGCAATAAATAATAAAATCACTTGCAGTGTATTAGAAGAACAGGACATACTGTCACTTTGACACTCAGATGTAGGAAGCATAGCTGATAGAGTCAACAAGCCAAGTCCCTACAATTAAATTCAAAATATGACAGAAACTTTAAACCCAAAGCTGAACAGCATAAGTTTATTAATTTCCAGGAATCATGAACAAATTGTTTGCCCGCTCCTCAAGAACGGAAAAGAAAGGATAAGTATGTAGTATCTGGTGTCTTAAAGACATTACACAATCATGCTGACTATTTAATAGTGTAGGTTTAAAATCCTTAATTTACGTCCAGCCAATCCAAGTAGAGATCAAGAAAACAAACCTAAAGGAAGATGTTATCAACCTGTGAAATCAGGTTTGGTTTCAATGAAAGAACTAAATATTGATGGAAATATATTAAATTGGAATCTAGCTTAGATTGATATATTTACCAAAAAAAAAAATGTTAGTGCAATTAGTTTTGCTTGTATCATTGATAATTGTTAGTAATCCAGATAACACAAATATTCATTATGAATTTTGCGATTTTTGTTGTATAGGTTTTTTCTACAGGAGATCATGACTCCTCATGAAGCATTATTGGGTTACATAATCTTTCTATATTGAATAGGTTCTAGTATTGTTTGATGAATATTCATAAATATATTGCATGTAAATAAATTGGAAGGCGATGTACCCATATAAAAGTGTGAATAGAGATGGTGTACCAATATATTTTTTAATGAAATTGTTGAATTTTAAATTTAAGGTGGTTCTCATGGTTTTATAAAAATACATTTACTCTTTCATTTCTGTAGTCTCTATAATCATGAAAAGATGGATATAAATAAACTAGCTTTTTGTTTAATTTTTTATATACAACACCATTAATGGAAGTCATAAAAAAATCTCAAACTAAATTTAAGCTTTCCACAATTATGTCCTAGACAGAAAGGTGACAAATGAATATTTCTCAAAATATAGTTACTGTTAATTATTTTTTTAAAAAAAATTAAACTTGAACAAAGAACATATCACACTCGCAAGACCGCAGCAGACAAGTTCTCATGTTTTCAACTATTGGTGTCCAAAGATTTCGAACTTGATTCATTAAGTCAGACAATCATGATTTATTGCACAAATCAAATACCAAACAGGCCTTGGCACATGAAGTAAATGAAGAACAAGAATTACGCCGTAGTTTCACGTTCACATACCAAAATATACTACATTTTGAAGCGTAAAACAAAGAGCGAACTTGAAACATCCTAGGCTGCTTCCCAGCTGCGGGTAGTGATCTGGGTTCAAGATCAACAATTACAATCATGCTAAGAGAACATTCCATTTATAGTTTATACAGTGCCTCCCCTATTATAAATGTAAGATTTTGCAAAGCATACATAAACAACCAACTGTACTGCACTCAACCCAGCTAGCAGCCAATAGAAATAATCAAGATGAGCCCGATTCAGATTATTAGCAAACCAGCTATATTGGCCATCCCCACCAGTTGCTTTCTCGATGATAGAGATAAGAAAGCTGCTTAGAAAGCTTCCAACACCAAAGATACTAAGGTAGAGTGAAAGACCAACACTCCTCAAGTCACTGGGGACCTGATCATAGAAAAACTCTTGCAGGCCAACCATGGTAAACGCTTCGGCAACTCCAAACAAGACATATTGAGGAATTAACCACCAAACACTCATTGGAATCGTCACATTTGGCAGATCAACTAGTCCATGTTCCTGGGCAGTTTTGAGCCTCTTCATCTCAACGAGAGCAGCAACAATCATAGCCACAACAGATATAAACATACCACTTCCAATTCTCTGAAGCATTGTGATGCCAGAGGGTTTTCTGGTTAAAGCTCTTGCTATAGGAACAAGGACACGATCATAGATTGGAATGAAGAGTACAATGGAGAGGCTGATAAAAGATTGAAGGGTAAAATTATCTACTATTTATTTTTAAGGTATTAATCATATCTCTTAATCTAAATATTGGATTGAATTGAGATTTTATAAGTAGTCTCTTGATATATTTTTCTATATTAGGATTAAAATTTAGATTAATTAGAGTTTAGTAAGGCCTTTTAAGACTTAACTCAGTGATGAATCACATAAATTTTTTTATTGAGTAAAATAATTATCTAAGGGAAACATTTTATAAATTAGGGTGAAAACAACAACAACAACAACAACAACAAAAATAATAATAATAATAATAAAGTGAAATCCTAAATAAAATAATATATGGTTTTACTCGCAAAAAAATGTTAATCATAGGTATAAGTCCCGCTTACAATTGTGTTATTTTGATCAAAAGTTGTGAAAGATCTAAAGTAGATTCTATGATAATTATAGATAGGAGTCATCAATGAATAAGTTTAAAAAACCATTATGATTTAAGTAAATAAAATGTTACGCAAAATTCAAATTTTAGGGTAAAATTATCTACTATTTATTTTT